GACAGAAGGAAACTTCAAATCTGTCTCCCGAGGGAATTTGAGGTTTTTAAGGGTTTTGGAATGGGCCAGAGTATGGAGACTGTTGACTGGTCAAAGAGTGCAGGGAAGCATGTGACAGGGAGATAAAGAAATGGTATTCTCTCTCTCTAAAGAAAGGTGGTGGGGGGCAGTGTCAAGAGCTCCTTGAAAAAATGGTTGATTCTAGAACCAGGGCAAGAAAGACACAAAATAAGAGGACACCGGAGCATCTTATAGTGCCAGAAAATAAAGAAGTGCCCAATAAAAACATGAAGAAGGGAGTATGTCAAAGGGATATAGGAGCAAATGGAAAGAGTTCCCAATAGTCAGTCTTGGAAAAAAATTGAGCAACAACATAAATAAAAGAGTATTGTATTATTACCTAAGTAGAAAATATTCTTAAGTCCATAATAATATGAATAACTTATTTAAATAATAAATTAATGATGGGGAATAGATGAATCTCCTGTGTAGGAAAAGCCCAAATAATTTATGTAGACATTTCACTTTTGAGGAAGCAGAGCATAACTCCTTTCTTAGGTATGGGCTATTCACAGTGACATCTTTCCAATACAGTGTAATAGAGAAGAGTAACTTTACAGTGGAGAGGCCTGACAAACACTACCTCAGTCAGGTGCTTAAGGCGAACATCAACAGTGATAGATCATGTTGATATTATGTACCCTTGACATAACATGATGAAAATGGCACTGTATTTCTGTGGTCTTCCTTCCCAAAACATATAGCCCCCATGTAGTCATAAGAAAACATCAGAGAAATCCCAGCTGAGAGATATCCTATATAATACCCAAACAGTACTCCTCAGAACTAACAAAATTATTAGGAACAAGAGAAGTCAGAGAAGCTGTCACAGCCAAGAAGATATATGATGACTAAATGTAATGTTGTGTGCTGAGTGGGACACTGGAACAGTAAAAGGACATTAGGTAGAAACGAAGGAAATAAGAATGAATTATAGTCTTCAGTTAATGATAGCATATCAGCATTGTTCCATTAATTGTTACAAATGCAGCATACTAATATCAGATCTTAATAATAGGGGAAACTGATGTGGGGTGTATGGAAACTCTTTAAACTGTGTTCACAATTTTTTTTTGTAAATTTACTTTGAAATAAGTTTATTTTTAAAAAAGTAAATAGTCTTCTAGATGCTAAAGGAGGAAATCTTAATCCACATCAGCACTGTTTAGAAATTTGGGCATTTCCTGAGGAACATACAGAGAGAAGAGAATTCCTATTTTAGTATTAATGAAAAATGCTTAGATCAAACTTGACCTTATATATGTACTATTACAGGAATGAACCACTACATTTTATTATTTTTAACTAGAAAAACCAACTAACAAATAATTGCTTTTCCTCCAGTTTGGAGGCTATGATATTACAACTTTTAAATATTAATATATTGGTTTTCATCCACTGTTCCTGGCTTGTAACAACCAGAGCCCTTGTTACAATCTTTTGTTACAACATTGGGGTGCTTTAGGACTCAGGAGCAGGTCTCAGAAAACAGAATCTCTTTCTCCGACCTTCTCCTGTCCTCCTTTTACCTGCTCCGAAGCTGGACTCTAATCTGGTTGTGGATCAAAAGACCCTCATTCCAGGCAGGGTCCCGCCCGTTACTCTGGAGGAAGAAAGGCTGCACAGAGCGGCCAAGGGGACCCTGAGCAGGCAGGCCTTGCTGGGCTTCCCAACACAGTCTGTTAGTATGAGGTCATATCCCTTTTGTCCAATCACATTTCTACATAGTTGTCAATCATGACTATGTGAAAAACAAAAAGGAAAGGATTTGGAGAGCTTCCAGATAGCTGAACACATGGAGATTCCCGGAGGATGGCGCCGGTGTGGAATCTCTGTCTCTCCGCCCCTTCCTCCTTACCTGGCCCTATGCATCTGTATCCTTTGTAACATCCTTATAACAGATCTTTAAATGTGTTTCTCTGAGTTATGTGAGCAGCTCCAGCAAATGAATTGAACTCAAAGAGGGGATCATGAGAACCCCAACTTAGAGCGTGTTGTCGGGAGTTCTGGAGGCCCAGACTTGAGATTGGTGTTTGTGGGGTGGGGGGCAGTTTTGGGGACTGAGCCCTCGCTCTGTGGGATCTGATGTTATCTCTAGATAGATAGTGTCAGAATTTAATTACAGGACACCTAGCTGGTGTCTGCTGCTTGGTGTGTGGGGAAAAAAAAACCCTTACCTTTGGTCATCGAGTTCTTTGCTGATGACTGTTGTGGTAGTATGAGAATAGAGGAAAAACAAGGCCGGGAAGTTTTTCTGAAACAGAGGCTTAAAACATTTTCTTTTTGGTGTGAGTGACCCTCCCATTCCTTAGTAAAAACGTATTTACTTGCATGTTATTATTGTCCTTACAAACTTGTTTTTCCCTAGAGCAATTGATTTTGCTTTACGTACTAGCTGAAGGTCTAAAGGCAATACAATTTAGGATCCTCATCTAGAAATCAATATGAGTCAATTCTGTTCGAACCAAATGATATCTGTGTGCAAGCCCTGTGTGGGGACTCCAGTCATCTGCATTAGTCCAGCTTCCTACTCTTGGAAATCAGCTTGGCTTGATTGGACCTGTATTGGCATGTTAATGTTTGATAGTGGCCTGGTCTTTATAAAAGCATACAATTTTGCAGACGGCTCCTTCTCAGGATAGGGTATCTTTGCTCAAAGGAGTGAATTTATTCTGTGTGAGCCAGGGAGGCAGGCATGAAGAAAGAGCATTCTGGGATGGCAGGGGAGATCCTTTGCACCAGTTGAAAATGTCATCACGTGGCTCTCCACCTGCATCTTTTGAAGGACTGGCTGTGGTGGGGTGGACCATAGGTCTGAAGTGGGGAGATCCCTTATATTCTTCCAATTTCTCATCGTTCAGTGGAGAATAAAGAGAATTTAACTAAGAAGGAAATTTCTAGACCAAACTCTAACTTTAGCTATCTGTGATATCGGGCTTCACTTTACTCTGTGAATAAAGGGTTTAGAGGAAGTTATTTTGGGTCCTTCTGAGCCTTACATTGTCTGACCTATGAGGTGGCTTCAGGTAGGTCTTTGTTGAGGTTGGTGTCTATATCAATGAAGAGGCAGTTCTCAAAGCTCTTTAGTGGTTCTCTTTTTCTCTTGCCGTTGCCAACAGATTTAAGATAGATTCTGTGTAGTTGACACAGGAGTCCTAAATTGTTTTCCTTATTTCACCTCTGTTGTTTTTGGTAGGTGGCCGATTCCAAGCTTGCATATTGGAATGGTTTATATTTCTTTTTGTATTGTTATTATTTTTTTGAGACAGAGTCTCACTCTGTCACCCAGGCTGGAGTGCAGTGGTGCAACCTCAGCTCACTGCAACCTCCGCCTCCCGGGTTCAAGCAATGCTCTGCCTCAGCCTCCCAAGTTGCTGGGATTCGAGGTGCCCACCACCATGTCTGGCTAATTTTGAGATTTTTAGTAGAGATAGGGTTTCACCATTCTGGCCAGGCTGGTCTTGAACTCCAGGCTGGCCAGTGACCTTGTGATCCACCTGCCTCGGCCTCTCAAAGTGCTAGGATTACAGGCATGAGCCACCGGGTCTGACCGGAATCGTTTACATTTCTATATTGTCATTTCAAGAGAAGCATTGTAGTGTAGGGAAAGGAGCATGGGCTTCACGGTCACTCTGGCCTTTATCATTTAACTAGACCTGTGACCTCAGAAAGTGATGGAACTTCTCCAAACATCCAATTTTCTCATTAATAAAAATGGCAGTAATTATCCTTACCTCTCAGGGAAAGGGTAGAGATTAAATGGGGCAACATGCAAAATGACTGTCACTTAGTAGGTGCTCCATCAATCAGTCCTTCCCTCCCTCCCTCCTCTTTCTTCCTTCCTCCCTTCCTTTTTTCCTTTCTTCCTTCCTTCCTTTTCTTTCCTTCCTTCCTTCCTTGCATAATGATGGAAGTTACATCCTTAGCAGTATGTTTGCAGATGATATTTGGGCTACTGAGTGATTCCATGTGGCTGTGTGGGTTTTTCCTCCTCCCCACTTCCTCCTCCTTGATAGGGCACCAACCTGCTTAACAGGAGAAGATGGTAGCATTCTAACATGTAGTGTATGTCCACAAGATGGGAGCTATAGTATGGGAGATCTGATTTTTTTTCAGCTCACACACAGAGGGAAGACCACTACTTAGTTGCTTTCTCTCTCTTCTTCACGCCCTGAGAACTGGATGAAGCTGATAAAGCTTAAAGACTGACAAATCAGTTTCAAACTCATAGACCTACAGGGTCAGGCAGGTGATATACATGAGGGACATGGGGTGGGGGTGAATAAAAGGCAACAGCATTATGAAGTTCATAAGAAAGGGCACCTTTACTTTGGCATAAGTGTGCCATAGAGAGTCATGAGGACTGTGGTGAAACAGAAAAAGCAGACCCCATTGAAAGGGAACAGCCACTACTCGTATCGGATAATGATTGCTACCAGGGACCATGGGTTCCCTTTATTTCCAGATCTTTCCATTTTTAGAGGGAACCCAACAATGTAAACATGTGAAATCTCTTGATTTTTCATGCTTGGCAAAGAAACCAAATTTTAAGACTATACTCTGTGGGCCAACCGAAAAAGATTATACCAGCAGGTTGTGGTGTCTGGACTAAGGGAATCACGAAGCTGTGGAGTCACTGGTGCGGGGAAGAAGATAATTAGCAGTCTAAGCGGGAGGGAAAAAGAAAGCTAGGAGAAACAGGGCTCTCAAAAGTGAGACAAATGAGCTATCCTGAATCCAGCTCCCTGGTGAACTCTGAAATGGATGGAAATGTAGAGCCAGCATCTCAAGTAAAGGACTATTTAATGTGTGTGTACTTGGCCAACTTAAAATAAGGCATTTGGAGCATGAATAGCCCTGTGTAATATGTGCAGTTTGGTTGACATATGCTTGTATTTTAACAACCAATGTTGTCACTTTTACTTTTGCAAACAATATGGTATGATCTGGTCCTCAGTTTAATTTTACACAAAAGATATAATACATCTATGTAAATAAGAGAGCAAAGAAGTTTTCTAAATGCTTTAATTCTTTGTCACAAATATTTCTGCATCTCTCAGGCCCTTCTTGCTGGAAAAAAGAGAGCTAGTGATACATTTGTTAATGGCACTTTAAAAATGTGCTGTGGTATATAGAGGTAACAATGTACTTCTTAAGTATGTTAATAATAAATTAAGGTTATAATGGTTGCCATATTAGAGAAAGTGAATTAAGATTAATCTCAGCACAAATAAAAATTAGTTTGGAATTAGATAAGCTAGGGATATCAAAACTGAAAAAATACAGCTTCCCAGATAACATTCTACTATATGCAATTTTTTGATGACTAATATTCAATTACAAAGTGTAATACCTTGCACAGCACCTAACATATAGTAGCTATTCAGTAAATGTTTGTTGAATTTTATTACTTTTGAAACAAATTACTGATTTTCCTCAGTAAGAGGTCATTTCTGTAACTCAGATAAAAATAGAACTTTATAAGAGTATTTATTTTTGTTACTTATCAAAGTATATTTCCTAGAGAAAATATCAGCAGTGGTAGCGACTAGAAAAAGTGTGTGTGTTCTAAACAGTGATTCCAACTCGGTGTGTTCAGAGAATACTTCGACCCTGTCTGTGTTTACAGTCCCTGCTGACAGTGTGCTGTCGGTATCCTCAGTCTTGTTCTACTTACTTTTTTATTTTGGCTTTACAGGGATTAGGTCTCAAGTCATGAGAATCTCCGTGGCCTTCAGTTGCTAAATTTTTCTGTCATTCTTTTGCTCTTACCGGGCTCAGAAGGACATGTCAGGTGGAACACGTGTTTGTCTTTCAGAGCTGAAGAAAGATTCTGAGCTGTGGAATCGGCAGACGAAGCCTTGGTCTCAGTGACTGCTTGGCTTTCAACCCACCTAGCCTCAGGCAGCCCAGAGGTCTTTTTACCACTGGATACTGATGAGATGTTTTAGATCCTTGCGCTTTGCAAAAATCCTTTCTCCCATGGGATATTATCGGGACATAGGCTAGAAAGGCTGTGGGAAGTGTTGGAGGTAGGAGGATAGAATCCAGACAGGATTGCAGTAAGAAGAGCGTTCTCTTTGGTGTGCTCCATAGTCCAAAGGCAGTCCTGAGCTGATTCCAGGTAGGAACCAAGGGTGGACTTTCTTCTTTGGTTCTTTGGTCCTTTTTATTTCCCCAGCTGGGGCCAGGATAAGGTAATGAAAGAAACCGGCCTCAGGTGTGTCTCCTTATTTCCATCTCATCTAAACTTCAGCTTCCAGGTATCGCATAGTAGTTTTGCTTGGACTCTTGGGCTCTTCTGGGTTTTTATCAGTTTTCTTTGATTCTTCATTAGTGTTGCTATCATCAGCCTTCTCCTCTTTTACTACTTTGGTTTCAATCATTTCCTTCTGCTGATTCTTGTTTGTAAAAGGGAAGGCATTCATATACCTTGAGGCATAAACATGAAATTAAAGTGAGAGACTCTATGTAGCACACAAAACAATAGATAACACTTTTGTACTGTGCCATGGTATGTATTGGCACAGTACACTGGGTACCTTTTTTATCAGGGTGATGCTAACACACACATGCTCGAATACATTAACACATCACCAACTTAATGGATTCATTTAAATTGGACAATATGTTTGCAGGCCAGACTTTAGGCTGACCACATAACTCTTCTAACAGAAACAAAAACCAAAAATCAAATAAAGCATATACATTTTCCCCAGATGTCAATGTTTTAAATTTCTTGGTTTTCAAAGGACAATCATTGAGTGATGGCTGGATGACATGCATGTGCTGAAATAGAAAAGACTGGGTGGAAGGGAGAGAGACGAGATGAGGGAAGAAATTTACAGTGTAAGAGGACTGCTGTCTCCATTTTGATCAGCAAAATGCCAGTAGTGTCCCTGAAAAAGCACAGGATAGAAACGAGACAAAGATTACAAGACTAGCAGTGCACCAACAACCCTACCTTTTGACATAGCAATATCCGAGACCAGCTGCAGCACCAAAGAAGAGGAGAGCAAGCACCAGCAGAGCTGTGGGGACACCTGCAGGGAACAGAGACATGGCCTGTTGGTCCTTCACTTAAACATTGTATGTAATGCTTATTGAATGATCCAGGTGATGGAGACAGTAGATAGTGCAGGAGAAAAACCTTCTCAGTGGCCCTTTATGATGTTGGGCCCACACCAGCTTCTTTGCTTCATGCTTGTAGAATCCCTGGCCTTGCCTCTCATACTCTCTCAATTCTGTAAGTTGCAATATGACAGAGTTCATTTCTCCTCCATGGCCTTGAGATTTACTCTAGTCAACAAGCCTCCCTGAGAAAAAGATGACTAGAACAAAATCATAGGCATTTAGGGTATGTATTTTAAAAAGAACTTCTACATAGGAACAGATAGTGTTTTATTTTTAAACGTCTTGAATTTTCAACAGTGAAATTCTTTTATACTTATACTTTTAAGTTTAATCACTAAGGTTCTTTACAGCTCTCAGATTCTATGATTTTATGAAAGCTGAGTTTGTGTTAAGCTTTTATTCATATTTGACAGGTTCTGAGTGCCTCATCTAGAGACAGGCAGGATTCTATGAATTGCCTGTTATACATGAACATACATGCACATGTAACATAGACACAGAAACCATTTACCTCCAAACCCAACAGCTTCATTCTTGAATGCTGCTTTATTTTCAACAGATGGTTGAGCTTCTGTAGATATGGTGGTAGTGTCCATAAAGACTTCTGTGATGCAAATCAGTTTTTTTCTCCGCGGAATAGAAGTAGAAGCTGGAGCAGGAGTAGTAGTAAGGGCAGGTGTTGTAGTGTGAGGGGACGCCACTGAATAGGTACTGTCACTGGCAATAAATTCTGTTTGTGTTGCAGTTTGAGTGTTGAATATGGGATCTTTGGTGGTGATAATTTCTGGAGTGCATGAGTTAGTCCAAGTATCTGTTGGGAGAGGGAAAAACGAAATAAAAGTATTACAACAGTCTCCTAACTGTTCTTCCTGCCTCTAGTCTTACTATACCTCCAAACCCCTTGTACTGTAGCTGGAATGGTCTCTAAAATGCAAGTCTAGTCATATCACTTCCATCCTTAGATGCCTTCAGTGGGTGCCTCTGTTGTACAGACTACAAGGCCCTCTGTGATTTGGCCCTTGCTGACATGCCAGCCCCCTCTGCTCTCTTTCTCTCATTGCCCCTGCCATACTGAAATTCCTTAAATACTTAATTTCCTTGATATGCTTTCTGTTACATCCAAGCACCATGACGCTTTTTTTTTTTCTGATCTCATCCCTCAGGTCTCATTGCCTCTGCCATACTGAAATAACTTGAATACTCAAATTCCTTGATACACTTTCTCTTACATTCAAGTACTGTGATGCTTTCTTCACCTTTATGACTCTTTGCCTTTCTTTATTTGGCTTACTCTGACTCATCCCTCAGCACTCAGATTGACCCTCTCTTTCTCAGGCAGACTTGTTGACTCAATTGGGTCCCCAGGCGTATGTTATTGTACCTCCTTGTCACTGTTCTCACAACACTGTTCCCTACTGGACAGCAAGCTTCCTGGAAGTAGAAACCCTGTCTATCTTGGTCATTATGGTATGAGCACTGTGTGTGGCACATGGCACATGCTCAATAACTATTTGATCGATAAGGAAGGAGGGAAAAGGGAAAGGAAGTAGTAGATTGAAAGACCAAATATATGTATGTGATGTCACTTCAAGACAAAGATATGCTAAGACCTGATTTTTCTGAGCTCATTTAAGAAAGGTGAATAAAAAGGGGCCAGGAGAGGGATAAGGGTTTGTTTTCCAATCTGTTGTATGTGCTAGAGAGGAAACACTTGTTAAAGCATTTTAATCTGAGTTGACCATGGCAGTAAGTGTTTAAATAGGTATCTCATTAAACAATGTTATCAAACGCTTGTTTATACAGGAGGAAACTGAAGTTTAGAGAAATTGAATAACTTGCCCAACGTCACATAGCTAGTAAATGGCAGAGCCATGCAGTATATTATAATATAAATTTGCATCTATTTTAAGTCCATAATTACTTATGGCAGTAGGTAGCATCATCTGAAATGTCTGCCGTGAAGAAATCGTTATTTTGTTAAGTTGATTCATTTTTGAAAGTGAAAATAAATACCAATCCAAACAATGATACTATTGATAAAACATCTTGACCACATACGCTCTGTTTTTATACTATTCATTTTACTTTGAAAAGACCTCCATTCAAATACATATAATCCTTGACCTTATCGTCCCTGAACTCTAACTACCTTTCTCATTCTTAGCACATGCTAAGCTCTTCCCTCAGAAAAATGAACATTTTTTAGTATCAGAGAAAAAAACATACTGAGCTTCATATACTATATTGAGAACTGAAATTACAGAGAAAAATAAGCCATGGTTCCCACCTCTAGAAGAACAGAAGATGCACTTTGAGAAGGATAGGGGGACATCAGAGGAAATGGCTTGGGCAGAGTAAGGAGGATTAATGTGTTAATTTAACAAATACCTATGGAGCACTGACTCTGTGCCAGGCACAGTTCTAGGTGCTAGGAACATGGTGCCAACAGACAAAGTACCTTCCTTTAAGGGTCTTTCATGCTATTGAAAGGATACAGATAATAAAAAAGTAGTAATAAACAAATAAGCCAGAAATTTGAGAGGATGATAAATATTAAAAGGAAAATTAAGCAGGAGATGAATTAGACTGGTGAGGTGGATGACAAAGGACAGAGGGTGATAAGAGAAGGTCTCTTGGGGAGGTGATACTTAAGCTGAGTCTTGAATGATGAAAAGTAGCCAGTCATTGAAGATCTGGGACAGAAGCATTCAAATGAAAGAGAACAGAAAGTTCAGGAGCCCATTTGATGAATAAGAAGGCCAGGATGTCTGAAACAGAGGAGAACATCTAACGTAGAAGGAATACAATATCCCAGTCAATAGGAATAGCATGATATGAGAATCTAGCAGTTTTAATGTGTAGTTATGTTAGAAAAATGGCAAGGAGCACAGTGTGGCTGGAATGTAGGGTGTGTTGTGTGTGTAGGCTGGAATGTGTGTGTAAATGAAGACATGAAAGACTGCAAGCGCCGGGCGCGGTGGCTCAAGCCTGTAATCCCAGCACTTTGGGAGGCCGAGGCGGGTGGATCACGAGGTCGAGAGATCGAGACCATCTTGGTCAACATGGTGAAACCCCGTCTCTACTAAAAATACAAAAAATTAGCTGGGCATGGTGGCGTGTGCCTGTAATCCCAGCTACTCAGGAGGCTGAGGCAGGAGAATTGCCTGAACCCAGGAGGCGGAGGTTGCGGTGAGCCGAGATCGCGCCATTGCACTCCAGCCTGGGTAACAAGAGCGAAACTCTGTCTCAAAAAAAAAAAAAAAAAAAAAAAAGAAAAGAAAGACTGCAAGCAAGAGATGAGACTGAGAAGATAGATTGGAGTCGGAATCAAGATTTAGAATTGCTATGTTAAATAACTTGAAATTTATTTTGTAGAAGAGGAAATTTTCAACTGGGTTCCACAAATCTCCAAAATTATATACAAAAATCCTCATATATATATCCACTTTTATGCAAAAGGCTTCACAATTTACATAATATTCTCAAATGAGACTCTGAAGCAGAGGGGTAAAATAATTATCAAAGGAAGTGTGTGGAGGATGAGATGCAGAGTGGAGAGGGTATAGTCCAGAAGCAAAGAAGGAGGTTATTGCAATTCCATCAAAATAGGAGAATTCACAAGTATCTGGAATCCTAAAACCTGGAGATCTAGGGAGAGGTGATCCTCAACCCTGGCTGCAGGTTAGAATCACCTGAGAAGCTTCTAAAAATTACTGATGTCCAGGACTCACCCAGGCCTTGTATATTAATGATGTGTGGTCATCATCCCACTGAAATGGGGATGATGCTAATGACTCTATATAGTTTAGCTCAAGATTTAAATCCTGGCTCTGCCCCTCATTGACTGTGACCACAGGCAAGGTACACTTTAAGCATCAATTGCTGCTCCTGACAGTAGAAATGATACACAGGTGTCATTTTAATGAGGATTAATGCCATAGTAAATGTCTAGGGGGCCAAGCATAGTGTCTGGGCATAATGATAAGATCTGCAAGAACTTGTTTCCTTGGCCTCTCTGTTCATACGTGTGCCCGAGATGAACAAAGTATGAAGGAGCACAAGCAATTGGTTGTCCCTAACTGGTCAAGAGTATAGTGTATCTCACCTGAAAGTGAGATGCTCTCTTTCCCCTTCAAACTACACATGATTTCTCTAGACTATGCTGAGTGCTCTGACAGATATTAAACACAAGGTGCAGTGGGAGTCCAAGGGGATAGATAGGGTTATGGAAATGCACCTGGAAAAGATGGCACTTGAGATATGAATAAAGAGTAGGAGTTGGCCAGGTGATGAAGAAGATGGGCATTGTGGCAGCAGGAACAGCACAACACAAGTGGTGCGTGCAGAGCATTAATAGCACTTTGATCCCCAGACCTCACAGTTAACAGCAATTTAAAAATAAAGTTAGGACTAGGAGTGGAGTTTGATTCCCTTATCTTACAAGGATAGCAACAAGAAAGACAATCAGGATAAGGTTTAGATCTAGGGTCAGGGTTACTCTGATCTTCAAATCTCACAAGATAGCAATAAAAAGTAAATTACAAAAACAAAGAAAATTAAGGTAAGGTCTGGATAAGCATTAGGATCAGGGTTAGGGAAACCTAATTCTCACCAACATGTCAATGGACACACACACACACATGCATACACACATTTTGGACCTCAGGCTTCTATCCTGATGATATATCTCCATAGATGTGAAATAATATATGTTCAAGGTTATATACCTTAGAATTACTTAGAATAGAAAAAGATTGGAAATAGCTCAAACTCCATTAATAGAGGACTGGTTGAATAAACTATAATACAGTCATCCAACAGAGTACTATGCAGCCATTAATAAAAGAGAAATGTCTATATGAACCAATATGGAGTAATTTCTAAGACTTGAGTGGAAACAGCTTTGTGCAAAGTGGTGTATACAGTATGCTAGTTTTTTGTAAGAAAGGGAAATAAGGCCACGTACAAACACACGCCTTTATATGCAAAGCAACACAGAGGGATAAACCAGAAATGAATGAAAATGGTGGGTGGAAATTGAAAGCCATGAGAGTAAGATTTCTTTGAATATACTTTTTTAAAAGTACATTTTGGACCACTGAACCTTGTAAATGTTTTAGTTATTCAAAAAAATAAAAATAGGACAAACATCAAACCCTAAAATGGACCACAAACAGAAGTAAATAAACCTAAGTTATTTCACAATGATAATATAACTACACAGAGTAGCACATTTTAAAGTCACTTTTACACACAATTCACTGACTGCACATTCATAGAGGAGTGTCTTCTAAGGACTAAAAGATATGCAAAGAAGTCTTAATTTTACTTAGTAGGTTTTTTATTAATAATGTTGGTTTTGTAATTTTGAAACTTGTAAGATAAGAAAATATATTAATATTATTTATTGTGAACTAATATTTTCATTATAAGAGAAAAGAGATACGAAGATAAAGTAAACTAACAAATAACTCAAATTGTTAAATTTGAGTTCGAACTATCAAGATAAACTCATGTAAGCAGGAGGCATCACACTACCGGACTTCAAACTATACTACAAGGCTACAGTAATCAAAACAGCATGGTACTGGTACCAAAACAGAGATATAGACCAATGGAACAGAACAGAGGCCTCAGAGGAAACACAACATATCTACAACCATCCGATCTTTGACAAACCTGACAAAAACAAGCAATGGGGAAAGGATTCCCTGTTTAATAAATGGTGTCGGGAAAACTGGCTAGCCATGTGCAGAAAGCAGAAACTGGACCCCTTCCTGACGCCTTACACTAAAATTAACTCCAGATGGATTAAAGACTTAAACATAAGACCTAATACCATAAAAACCCTAGAAGAAAATCTAGGCAAAACCATTCAGGACATAGGCATAGGCAAGGACTTCATGACCAAAACGCCAAAAGCATTGGTAACAAAAGCCAAAATAGGCAAATGGGACCTAATCAAACTCCACAGCTTCTTCACAGCAAAAGAAACAGTCATTAGAGTGAATCGGCAAACAACAGAAGGGGAAAAATTTTTTGCAGTCTACCCATCTGACAAGGGGCTGATATCCAGAATTTACGAAGAACTAAAACAGATCTACAAGAAAAAAACAAACAAGCCCATTCAAAAGTGGGCAAAGGATATGAACAGACACTTTACAAAAGAAGACATACATGAGGCCAACAAACATGAAAAAATGCTCATTATCATTGGTCATTAGAGAAATGCAAATCAAAACTACATTGAGATACCATCTCACACCAGTTAGAATGGCGATCATTAAAAAATCTGGAGACAACAGATGCTGGAGAGGGTGTGGAGAAATAGGAACACTTTTACACTGTTGGTGGGAGTGTAAATTAGTTCAACCATTGTGGAAGACAGTGTGGCGATTTCTCAATGACCTAAAAATAGAAATCCCACTTGACCCAGCGATCCCATTACTGGGTATATATCCAAAGGATTATAAATCATTCTACTATAAGGACACATGCACACAAATGTTCATTGCAGTACTGTTTACAATAGCAAAGACCTGGAACCAACCCAAATGCCCATCGATGATAGACTGGACAGGGAAAATGTGGTACATATACACCATGGAATATTACGCACCCATCAAAAACGATGAGTTCGTGTCCTTTATAGGGACATGTATGAACCTGGAAACCATCATTCTCAGCAAACTGACACAAGAACAGAAAATCAAACACCGCATGTTCTCACTCATAGGCGGGTGTTGAACAATGAGAACACATGGACATGGGGAGGGGAGCACTACACACTGGGGTCCACCGGGGGGAAATGGGAGAGGGACCGGGGGGGTGGGGAGGTGGGGAGAGATAGCATGGGGAGAAATGACAGATATAGCTGAGGGGAAGGAAGGCAGCAAATCACACTGCCATGTGTGTACCTATGCAACAATCTTGCATGTTCTTCACATGTATCCCAAAACCTAAAATGCAATAATAATAATAAAAAAAGGATAAACTCATGTACACAAAATTTTCTATCTGTCCACTGATAGGACTGAAAAGCAATGAAAACTTCAGGAGGAATGAGAACAACTTGTATCCAAATCTTGGTTTCTAATTAACATTCCCCTTTAAAAGGAACTAGGACTCCTTGGAGAAATAAGTAGCTGATTCCATGCCCAAGAGACAAAAAGTACAAAGTGAGCCTGGGACATGGTATTGTACCAGGAAACCAGGAATTACCTAAAAGCAAATGGGATAAAGGACACAAAAGTCAACTAGAAGGGGCTTCCACTTGCCAGATTCAGGACAACTGGCGCATCCAAAGAACAAAAGAATAATAATTGTAAAATGGATTATAAGACATTGAACACATTGAACAAGTAAAATGCATGTGCCCATGGTAGTGTAAGAAGGAGAGAAAAAGGATGTGTGTGTGTGTGTGTGTGTGTGTGTGTGTGTGTGTGTGTCAGAGAGAGAGAGAGAGAGATTCTTCATTATCAAAGATGCCAACTAATAAATTTCAAAGGAAGGATAGATTTAGAAAAATTACCATCTTCAGTCCCCCATGTAATAACTGATTCCAGGAAGAATCATCAATGACTGCATAAATGTCTAGGTAAAAAGTCATTGAAGATCAAGATATTTGCATGATGTCAAAATATCCCATTGTAGATTACCTACTAATTGCAAAGGGAAAGATATAGTGTTACAGTTTCATTAGCAAGATAGGGCAGTTGCCACTTTAATCAAATAATCAAAGTTAGCATAATTAATAGGGGGACATACTGATATTAAGTGCCTTTGTTGTGATGTGATCCAAAGTACATAATATCATCTATGAAGTACTTTTGCCAAAAATATTGAACATGAGCCTAATCAAGTCTCTAGACCTAACTTTCCATGTAAGAAATACACAGAAAATGTGGCACATATACACCATGGAATCCTATGCAGCCACCAAAAGAATGAGTTCATGTCCTTTGCAGGGACATGGATGATGCTGGAAATCATCATTCTCAAACTAACACGGGAACAGAAAACCAAACACCACATGTTCTCACTTACAAGTGGGAGTTGAACAATGAGAACACGCGGACACAAGGAGGGGATCGTCACACAGTGGGGCCTGTCGGGGGTTGGGGAGCAGGAGAAAGATAGCATTAGGAGAAATACCTAATGTAGATGATGGGTTGATGGGTGCAGAAAACCACCATGTCATTTGTATATCTATGTAACAAATCTGCACGTTCTGCACCTGTATCCCAGAACTTAAAGTATAATAAAAAATAAAAATAATCTCTGGAAAAACAAAAAGAAATACATGGGATGGGAGTACAAGTTAAATGAAACCACGAAGAAATAGACAAATCCAAGTCCTCTTTTTCTGGCTCTTTTCTGTTTAGTCAGAGGGCTGGGTATCATATCATCACATTGCCAACTGGCAGAATGACAGTTAAAAAGCAAAGTCATTTGATAGGCATGGGTTGGCTATGAGGTATGCAGGCATAGAGCTCACCAATTCCCCAGCCAATGATGATAGACCAAAGAGGCAGAGAAGCGAAGGGGGATGGCAAATAAAATGTTAGGAGAAGCCCTGTGTTCCAGTCTTGATTCTGCCAGTAACTGACTGTAGGACCTTGAACAAGCTAAACCCCTGTTCTGAACTGTAGTTGTTTCAACCACAAAATGAGGGTACTGGACAGAATTTCTCCATGGGCCTTTTCTGTGCCAAAGCCCTCTGGATCAGGGAACTACTTGGATCCTATATTGCCTTTCTGGGACAGTTTTTGCTAATACTGACTGGTGCACATTTATCTCTTGAATCTTAGAGATTGATTTTGAAATCTATCCTGTGTATGACCTCTCAGCCACCTAACCTTCAGAAGGTCAGATAGATGGGTATGTGTGAATATAATAATCAGACAGGGGTCCTTATGACAAACTAAGAACAAGTGAGTATTTAGGAAAAGAAAAACTTTCCAAGGACTACTTAGATGAAGCACTTGGGCTAAGGCAGCCAAGGTCTTCAAGCAAGGTTAGTGGGATGACTTCATGACCGTGAGCAAATCAGTGCTACCCTCCAGGCTTCAATCTTTTCCTTCATAAAATGGAGACTGGGTCTGGTTCTTAAAAATGTCAAATACAGGCTGGGTGCAGCGGCTCATGCCTGTAATCCCAGCACTTTGGGAGGCCGAGGTGGGTGGATCACCTGAGGTTGAGAATTCGAGACCAGCCTGACCAACGTGGAGAAACCCCATCTCTACTAAAAATACAAAAATTAGCTGGGCGTGCTGGTGTTTGCCTGTAATCCTAGCTACTCAGGAGGCTGAGGCAGGAGAATCACTTCAACCAGGGAGGTGGAGGTTGTGGTGAGCTGAGATTGTGCCATTGCACTCCAGCCTGGGCAACAAAAGTGAAACTCCATCTCAAAAACAAAAACAAAAACAAGTTGAATATGGCATCCGAATTTCCTCTCCTATAAAAGAATGTGGAACAATGGAAAGAGCATAGTTTCAGAGTTAGACCTGAGGCTGAAACTTTATAGTAATGAGACCTTAGACAAATGTGCTTACATCCTTTGAATTAGGTTTCTTTACCTGCAAAATGGGGATGATGAAGCATACCTCATAGACAGGTTGTCAAGGTTCAGTGAGATACCCTAGTACAGAAAGCCCTATGGATCTGTGAGTTCCATGTAGGCAGAATCAATCAACCTTGGATTGAAAATATTTGGGAAAAAAAAAAGAAAAAGAACAATACAACAATAAAAAAGCAAACAATACAGTGCGATGACTATTTATATAGCATCTACATTGTATTAGGTATCGTAAGTAGTTTAGGGATGATTCCAAGTATACAGGAAGATGTGTGTAGGTTATATGAAAATACTACCCCATTTTATATCAGGGACTTGGGCATCACTAGATTTTTGTATATGACGGGGTGCTGGAACCAATCCCCCACTGACACTGAGGGACGATTGTGCATCGTTTTGTCCATAATGGATGCATTACATACATCTGTACATTTGTTTCCTTCCCTTCTGCCTGCTTATCTTACAGGATGCAGGGATGGCCGCAGTGGTAACTGAGCCTCCTGAGCATCTTCTCCTGTGTTGCTATTCAGTCATATTTCTCCTAACTTTTTCTTCTGAGGGGCATATTGCCACCCCTAGCCTGGCCAAAAGACAGTTTGGGAGAATTAGATGACTGTGGCTGCAATTGCTTCTGCTGCTGCTCAGGGTAACCCTTCCCAGACAGGTCTCAGAGTGAGAGATACCCAGAGAATGCCACGTGGAAAGGCTGCAGGTCGGACTTACCAGATGAGTTGTAACAATAGGCTGCAAACTGTCGGCTCACTGGAACTTTCCAAATCAGGACACCCATCCCATTTTTCCCACACTTGGGGTTTGGGATAATCCTAGAGATGACCACGAATCCATCTCCAACCCAGCCATAGCTGTAAAAGAATATACACTAGTTGAACAGAAAAATGATTAGAAGGTATCATTTCTATTGCTAGACAAGAATACAGAGCCAAAAGAACTCCAGCAGTGACAGTGAAACTAGCTGTTTCTCACCTGCAAGTCTCAAAGCCAGCCTTCCAGGCTGTTTCAACCTGGTCCTTGCTGGCCGAAGTTAGTCCCAGCAGCCTACAGGCCTCCTTAGCTTCTGTGAAATTCAGCTGCGGGTTTGCCTTTTTGTTCACAAGGGTGATCCCCATAATTCTGCATGACACCTGGATGGAAAGCTCTGCAAAGGAATCACATAGGTCCTCAGTTTGCTGCTGTCTTTGTTCCCAGCCCTTAGGCTCTCCTTCCTAGCAGAGCACATCTTGAGGCAGCAGGAAGGTCTCTCTGGCTGGGACTGGGGTTTAGAAATAACAGGACACAGACAAAGCATTTTCCACAAGGACAGTCTGCTGGGCTAGATGAATACTTGTTCTTGTCCAAGCTTAAATCTCACCCCGCTGAAGTCTATCCCACCCTACTGCATTAAGACGTCCTGCTCACCACAGGGGGGCTTTGGCTACCAGTTGCTGGGGTGTAGTCTGAGGGATGTAGTTACTGCAAACCTTTCTGGAGTCTGTAAAATGAAGCATCTGAGACTTTAAGAAAGATAGAAATTCAGGACTCTAGTTAATAGAATAGTTGGCAATACTCCAAACCAATATGGTTTGGGGACACCACTATTTCTGAGACGGGCTGAACATGTCACACTTGTTACAGCAGGATGTGAGTGCTCTCAGTTGCAGGTCTTCCCTGGCCATTAGGGGGCAGGCTTACTCAGAAGTTCCTGGAGGAGCTGGCAGTAAACCTTGAATGGCAGAAAAGCTAAATAAAGCAAGCAGAATTTTAGAGTCAGATTTGGGCTTAGATCTAGCATATGCCACTTGCTAGCTCTGTGACCTTAGCCTAGATACTTTATCCCTTTAATCTTCAGCTCTTTGAGCCTCCTTATTTATAAATTCAGAAAGTAACAGTGTCTACTGAACAGGGTAGTGAAAGTTAAATGAGTAAATGCTAATAAAAATGGTTAGCATAGTGCCTGCCACATGGTAGATGCTTAATAAATCATATATAACATTAACATTATTTTTAAAGCGTTTTAGTTTTGGTCTGCTAATGACTGATTACCCTGTAGAAGCTGAGGCAGTTGAATAGGTAAGATACGAATAATAACTCAAAAGTTAATGGATTTGGGGATTCTTCTGAACCCTTTTCTCTGGGTTCTGTGATGTATAGACTTGTATGAAATTGTCCAGTTGTACTGTATTCAAGCACATGATTCCTACTGAGCTTCACCCATGAACATCCTTAACAGGGCATTTAAATATCTCAAGTAATTGCTTGTACATAGCTCTGTGTATTGAATGTTTAGTCAAATGCTTTGAGCACTTTCTAGATTGATATCTAATGGAAGTTCCTTTTTGCAGACATAGAAGGAGCATTTCTAAGTCCTCCCTGTGAACCTTGCTGTGGTGGCAGATTAGGAGCACACATTTGATCGTGCCTGATTCTAAAACCTCAGTTCCTTTTTTTTCTTCTTCTTTCCCAAGAGCTGGATCTTGCTATGTTGCCCAGGCTGGTCATAAACTCCTGGGCTCAAGCAATCCTCCTACCTCAGCCTCCCTGAGTAGCTGAAACTACAGGTGTGCACCACTAAGGCCAAGTGAGAACCTCAGTTCTTTTTCTTTTCTTTTTTTGAGACAGAGTCTCGTTCTGTCACACAGGCTGGAGTGCAGTGGCATGATCTCAGCTCAGTGCAACCTCTGCCTTCCGAGTTCAAGCAACTCTCATGCCTTAGCCTCCTGAGTAGCTGGGAGTACAGACGAAAGACACCATGCCTGGCTGATTTTTGTATTTTTTTGTAGAGATGGGGTTTCACCATGTTGGCCAGGCTGGTCTCGAACTCCTGACCTCAGGTGATCCACTCTCCTCGGCCTCCCAAATTCCTAGGATTACAGGTGTGAGCCACAGCACCCAACCTGGCCCCCAGTTCTTAACTATGACACTGTTCTACCTTTCACAGTGCTATAAGGAAATGAACACACACACACACACACACACACACACACACACACACACACACACCCTGGGCTGAACTCTCTGAACACATCATTTACCCTGAAATTTGGCTCCTTTAGCTCATCAGGTTGCTGTTGCTCAAGTCTCTTATGGCTACTTCTTTGGGAATGGATTGCAGAGATTTATTTGTCACACTATCAAGTGGTCTTATTACCCTCTCATATGTAATTTGTACTCTAAATGCTATTATTTAGAGCAATGATAGACTTATTCTAGGTGAATAGACTTAGCTTTGAATATTTTTTCTATTGTTAACTGGCTGCTGGGACATCAGGCAAGTCAGCATTCTCATCTGAAAAATGGGGACAGATATGTCTACTTCACATGATTTTTATCAGAATTAAATTAGATAACTTGTACCTAGCAGAGGCAGGGCCCAGTAGGAAGTCAACAGCATTAGTCATTTTATGCTTTCCTATTTCATTTAGTGACCAAAAGAGGGAGCTGGAATCTAAGGGGTACTCTAGCAACTCCTTTCTTAAGATTTCTCAGGAAACAGCAAACATAGTAGAAACAGTATATGCTTAGGAATTAGATATAGGGATATGGTATCAGATAATAGCATATGCTTAGAAATCAGATCGAGCTGAATTCAAACCCAATATTTATTATGTACAGCCTGCATGACATTGGGCAAGTCACTTCACCTATAAACCGTCTTCTTGAGAGGATTAAATGAAGTTGTGTGTACACACATAGCTCTGGACTGCTATATAATTGGCCCTCAAAAATAGTTCCTATCCCCATTCACTTACCTTCATCAGCTACCTTATTCTGCAGGTATGGTTATCAGACTTTTGGTTGTTCCCAAAAAAGTAATTTCCTTAGGAATTTTTTTCCCTTGCTGAGGATGGTCTAGAGTGTTGATGGAGTCATTTTCAAAGAACAGTGTCCAATAGTTTGAATAATGACAGCATTGTGGGGAAAAATAGTCTCCCCAGAGGATTTGAAAGAGGACCAAACTTATTTAAAAGTAACAGTATTTTAAAAAACTAATCATATAACTCTGACCTCCCTTATAAAATTTAATGCAACAATATATAAATCAACTCTGAATGTCTGTTTCTAGCATATTTTCTATCTCAGGTCATCTTCCAGCATGGGAACACACATTTTCCTTTTAAAGTGCTCAGATTTTCATTTGCCCAGAGCTGCAATGAGTGATTTGTGGTTACAATTTTTTGCCTACAGTGTGGAATGAAGTTTTCACTTAGGCATCTCGAAAGCCCAGCAATCACTTTTAAGTCATTCCTTTAGTAGACAACTGACAGCTTAATTTTCAAACTTATATTTTTGCAGACTTTTTTTCAGTTAACTTACTATTTCCTGAATATTTTTTAAAACATTGTATTTCATTCATGGTATGATAAAACTAAAATTAAAATAATTATGCTAACACTCTCAAAAACATAAAAAATAGGCCAATTTTAGTGAAAGTTGCCCATTATTCCCAAGCTTAGGGATTGCTTTAAATCTTTTACAATCACAGTTTGCTTCTTCAATGAAATACTTTAAAAAATTATTACTTCTGGATGCAATGGCTCACGCCTGTAATTCCAGTACTTTGGTAGGCTGAGGCAGGAAGATCACTTGAAGCCAGGAGTTCAAGACCAGGCTGGGTAACAAAGCGAGATCCTGTTGCTACAAAAAAATTTAAGCACCACTCACACAAAAAAAGACTAAAAATCAAATTATTCCTCTTCAGTATTGTATTTCGAAATGTCCTCATTAAAAATATTCCATAACCGAAAATAAAAGTCGAGATGATACAAAGGTAAATGTCAATCATTTTTGTGAAGCTGGCAATACGGTGTAATATTTTTGGCAGAGCAATACCACCAGTTAGACCTGCTGTTGACATTGAGCGTCACCCTCATTCCCAGAAATCCATCATCGACAGCTTAGGAGGCTTAGGACATTTTGCAAGATCTTACTTTGCTTCAGTTTAGAAATCTGGTAAGAAACCTACCTTCTGTACGCAAAGAGCCTTGGACCAGGAGCTTCGGGGTCCAGATGGAAGCAAGAAGCAACAGCAGGCTGAAGCACCTGGCCATCGTGCCTACCATGCCTTCAGAGTCAGAGAAGCACCTCGGATGGCTACCGGTGGTATGAGAGGCAGATGCTCAATCACTAGTCTGGATGGAGGGTTCTGGAACTACGTTGCGGCTCACACTCACTGCTCCACTTCATAACTGAGACATCCGGATTTCCCTGCTTTCAGGCTTCTGACTTGTCAAGGTCACTGGGGGAAATGAGTGACGTCTCTTGAATGCCCAGGCTGTATTTTGTGGATGGCCCTCTGGAAAATGTAGCTAATGCTGACTCAGAAAGCACACAAATGAGGAAGGCAGATAGCACAGTGTGAACTGCTAAAGGTTCTCCCAATTCCCGTATTCTCTGCCATTCCCCCTCCCCCAGCAGCTCAGTTCTCACACCATTCACTGTTATTGCCTGTGGAGTCCATCATTTATGCACACCTAGAAATGTCTCTGTCCCTAAAGGAGACTGAGCATTGGTTGTGCCCCTTTTCCTCCCGCAATCAGCGATTTTTCCTCCCGGCTGCTTGGCCTTGTGATCTGCAGGGTATGAAGCTGAAGCTCATGAAAGTAAATGTCCATTTAAACACAGAGTCTAGAACCTTCATGCCTTCCTTTGAGTCTCCTTTATGCATTTGAAATCTCTACACCACTACAGGTGATTTTTCTTTCAAAGAAACTAGGCACATATAAACATTCGCATTTACATAACACACCTAGGAGGGCAATTAACAAAATTAAACATCTTACACTTTACACAAGGATTTTTAACTTTACGATAGTAATCACTGCAGGAGTCCTTTATAAAATAACTTTCTCTGAATAACTTATTTAATATTCTGGTAGGCCAGAATTCAATTCACACTCCACCTTTCTCGTTCGATGAATGTGAGGTTTATCCGTTTTTCCTCAGCTGCGTGCACTCTATGTTTTTCCAGCTGGATATTCAGGGGTGTGTGCTTCATGGTCATTATGGAGTTCTGCCTTGTGAGCAACGTCTTGAGCAAAGGTTTATGAGACTTTTCTAAAATGAATGTCTTTTATAGGAAAAATATATGGATAACAAATTTTTTTTTTACGTAAGTGGTACCGGTCATAAAGTTAGATATCTGTGTGGAAAATATCAATAATAAAAAGAGAATCTGCTCTGAACAAACGCAGGGAACTTCTAAGAGACCAGGGAAACAGCCTTTACACATCTCCAGTACGGACCTCATTACTCGGGTGAGACAAGCCGTCGTTCCTCAGAAACATTCACGACTCAATCATCACGGTACCAGGAAGACAGACAGGCAGAGTCCCAGCCTCGTCATCATTATTCTTAAAGCCTAACACCATGGCCGAAAGAGAGCTAGTTTTCTAGCATTTGTTCAATGATTACAAAAAGAATGAAGGAAGACAGGAAGGGGAAAAATGAATCATGAAAGGCAAGGCTTTGTGTAAAGGGGGAGAATGAGAGTCACAGCGATCACCAGCCATAGAATTTCTGGAATACCAACAAAGAGACCTTAGAAAGGCTGCTGTACCAGCTTTCTATTGCTGTCCAGCAAATTACCATAGACATAGTGGCTTAAAACAGTAATCATTTATCATTTCACAGCTTCTATATGTCAGAGGTCTGAGTGGGCTCAGTTGGGTCCTCTGCCCTGAGTCTCATGAAACTGCCATCAAGGTGCTGGCTGGGCTGAGCTCTTACCCGGAGGCTCTTGGGGAAGAATCCACTTCCAGGTGCATTCAGGTTGTTGGCAGAATTCATCTGTTTGAGGCTGTGGGAATGAGATCCCTGTTTCCCTGCAGGCTGTCAGCCAGGGTCCATTCTCTTCTCCTAGAAGCCCTCCATTTTCAAAGAAGCAATGACAAATTGAGTCCTTCTCATACTTCTAGTCTCTCCTTCACTTCTACAGTTGGCCAAAGAAAGCTCTCTGCTTTTTTAAGAGGCAGGGTCTTGCTCTGTTGGCTGGAGTGCCCCCACCGTGGCTCACTGCAGCATCTACCTCCTGGGCTCAAGCAGAGCTCTCTGCTTTTAGGGGCTCATGGGTCTACCTGGATAACCTCCCTATCTTAAGGTTAACCATACCATCTAATGCAACATAACAAGAGTGATAGCTCCTATTCAAAGGCTCCAGGGATTGGGGAGGGACATCTTTGGAGGGCTGTTCTAGAAATTCTGCCTTCCACAGTCACTCAACCTTGATTTGATTCTGATCTGCTTTCTGGGAGAAACGCTCACATCCCCTGTTTTCTGTGGCCCTTTGCATCCCTCTGGGAGACTGATTTGTATATAATCTTCCTTGTCCACCTTTGAAGTGGATATTAGGGAGTATGTCCTCCTTGGATATAGCACAGCTTTTGCAGTCTGCTTCCTGCAGGTGAAAGCTAAGATCCCAAAATTTTCTTATTTTTTAAAAATTTTTTTTTTAATCAACGTGTAATTCTATACATGTCCATTATGATGTTTCCATACATACAAGGTGTAGTGATCAGATAGGGTAATTAGCATATCTGTCATCTCAAACATTTATTCTTTATTTTGGGAGTGTTCAGTATCTTCTCTTCCAGCTATTTGAAAATATATGTTGTTGTTTTCTATAGTCATTCTACGTGCCATAAAACACTACAACTTGTTCCTCCTAACAATACATCCTTTAACAAATCTCACTCTTTCCCTTCTCTCTTCCCTTTCCAGACACTAGTATCCTCTATTCTGTTTTTTACTTCCATGAGATCTTTTGTTAGCTTCCACGAATTAGAACATGTGGTGCTAATGTTCTGTTCATGACTTATTTTACTTCACTAATGGCCTCCAGTTCAACCTATGGTGCTGCGAACGACAGGATTTCGTTTTTTATGGCTGAATACTATTCCATTGTGTATGTACATCATGCTTTCTCTATCACTCATCTTTTGTTGGACACGTTAATACCGTATCTTGGCGACTGTGAACAGTGCTGCAATAAACATGAAGGTGCAGGTATCTCTTTGACACATTTTCTTTCCTTCCAAAAGCTGTTTCCTCGCTTGAACAACCAAAGGGGTTTTTAGTCCTGGCTTGTGTTTCTTTGTAAATTCCATGTGCCAAAAATCATACCCCAACTCCTTTTCCAGTCATAATTCTCAAGAATTATTTCTTGTTTCTCAACACCATACCCCTCTAATTTAGTGGTCAACACACTAAGTTCATTTTAATTCAAAGGAAAGGGCCACATCCTTAACCTTGTCTTTGCCATAAGGCTGAGTGGACCTGTTCAATTGAGAAATTGTATTGGTTCCCACTCAAAGCTCTTTTTAGTCTGTCTGGGATTTAGAAGTGGTCAGGTTTTCTCACCCTTCTGTCTTTCACATTTCTGAATACTCGATATTCTTTTTCATTTCTGCTCCCCCGTAGCCAATTCTTTCTCCTGCAATAACTTGCCAAAGGTAGCCAAGAGAAGTTTGCATACTCCAACACCGATTCTTTTCACTACTTCTAAAACTATAGGCTAACCATGAGATGCTTTCCAAGTTATCACAGGTAAGACTTTTCCAAACACACATTTTACTCATGACATGTGTGACCATCTTTCTAGCAATTTTGTTTCTTGCCATGTAACTGGTACGCCAGAACCTTATATTTTGAAATTTTGCTATTAAAGTACCCAATTTCTAGTTCAAATGTATGCATTAGTGGGGGGTAGGCTAACAGCTATAAACATTCTACAATCTATGTGGCTTAACACACTAAAATATTCTTATTCATGTCACAGTTCAATATTGGGAGTGCCCATTCAAAGACCCAGCGTCCATCTAGTGGTTCTGCCATTTTCTTGGGTCTCAGTGTTCTCATTTGAATCCTCTGGCTTTGGTTGGCAGAGAAGGGAATAAAAAGGGTATGAAGTATTGGGCAGGAGAGTTTATTTTTAGGGAACAAGACTTGGAAAGTGCAATTCCCCTGCAGCTAACTGTAAGAAATACCCAAAAATTGTTGAGCTGTGGAAATTGGGTTGGTAGAAACCCAGCAGACTCAATCACAGCAAAATGTGTTCATTAAAGAACTCATAGACCGGGAAGATACAGGAAACTAGGATTGGGAATGGGGAAGGGGAAGAGGAGGAGGAACTGATCCAGCCCCCGTGAGGTACCCCGTAGTACAACGACCAAGGGTTGGGGACCTCCGGCTTGGTTCTGGGATGCTCTAATATATCCAAAAGCATCAAATTCCAAAGATCGTAACTCAACTCCATAAAATGAAGAGGCATTTGGCTGCTGCCAGAGGTTTGGAAATGTGCTTTTATTTTCAAACTCAGGTATGTGACACTCTACAGTTCAATGCTAGCACACCTGTGTGAGGCTTAACAACATGAGGAACTGACAGCCAGTGATACACAAATCCAGCACTCCCTTTCCATTTAACCTATCAGGCTGTACATGGGAGCAACACATATGGCTTTGTGGTAGCCGGAAAGTGAAGGTCTTTTTAGGAGGTGACATCAACAATGACACAAACACATCCATCACTCTGCAACTGAAGGCAGGGAGCCAGACTCCTAGGGCTAAGCAGAGACGTGAGACTTCAGAGGCATTTGGGGGACTTTTCTTTCAGATTCACATCGTCATTGGAAATCCAGGGTCTGTTCTCTCCAGTTCACTACCAGTTGGGCAGCAACTCCCACTGCTCCAGGCTGGTCTTTGCTTTCCAGAAAAGTTAGACCTGTGAGTACTTTTTCAGCCATGCCCTTGTACATGTGGCTACTCTTATGCTCCCTTTTGAAGACGTCCTTTTCCTTGGCCTCCCTTGCTTACAAATGGAGTATGGTGGGAGAGAGCCTGTGCCTGGTAGTACTCTTGCAGGCCTTTCTGTGGGGCAGCTGGAGGTGCAGGAGCTCTCTACACCTGCTCTTGTGGCCTTTGACTCATCCAGAAATGAAGGCAGGAAACTTGTGACCAAGTGAACAGTGGGTCAGCTGAGCCTGGCCCTTCCTTAAGGGAGGCCGAGATCGAACATTCCCCACCTGGAGTCCTGCTTCCACGGCCACTCTCCGGAACTCCATTTGTATCCTGTCTTTGGCTCTGAGGGCCTCATGTAGCTAAAGCTCCTTCAGTTTTATCCTGAACCCCTGGAAGAGGCTGGGCAAACCATCCACTCATGGCTCCAAAGTCTCTCTGCCCTGCTCTGTAACTCTTTACCTTAATGGCACATCCTTGATCAACCCTGACTTGGGCCTCTCTCAGTCATTTTCTAGCTACTGTAAAGGATGCCCCCTTCAATAAACATGCTGTTTTAAAGTGGGGCATGCTTGAGGTGAGTGAGGGCTCTCTGAAGGAGTGACT